AGATCTGTATTCACATACATAGTGAAGCAAGAATGAGCAGAAAGGAAGTGTGTAGATCGTGTTCATCAGGGAGATTTGTTAGGTGACTGTGTGTAGATCTGTATTCACATACATAGTGAAGCAAGAGTGAGCCGAAGCACTTTCTCACCTCCACCTTACCCACATTTGTGTGGCATATTAAGTCAGGAGACTAAAGGAACGAACACTATTATGCTTTTCTTTTAGCCTCCCATTCCAGAGGGCTAATCAAGTTATATTTGTTCATTAAATAAATGTGTTTCCATATCTTGAATTTCATTTATGGATTTTCTATAGTCTGTCAGGAATGGAAAGGATGACTTTTTTGTTATTGCCTTGTATAATATAGAATTTTAGGACAGTTCAGCTTGGACTCTATTTAATCATGTTATATACTTTTTAAAACTAACATGTTGAAAGTAAGAGTACTTCAAGGGCATAGCAGTTGAAAGCTCCTCTAGCACTACTATTCATTATTCTGTTTTCCTCTCCATTTTATCAAATGGATGTAGATGATTAAAATACACTGTTAGGGAGGGGTGCTCCTTGTGACAGGTGAACTGGGAAGTTGTTTATGACATCTCTGTGAAAGCAGGCAGAAGTTGTGAGGACAAATGTGTTCCTTTTCAAAAATTAGTTCTTTGGGAATTTCATACTATGCATATTTTTCATTTCACTGTCCCTAACTCTTTCCAGGTCCACTCCCCTTTCCTACCTACCACTTTGTTGTTGTTGTTGTTTGTCTTAGTTAGAGTTTCTATTGCTGTGATGAAATATCATGACCAAAAAACAATTTGAGGAGGAAAGGTTTCATTAGGCTTACACTTCAGCATTACTGTTCATCACTGAAGGAAGTCAGGACAGGAATGCAAACAGGGCAGGATCCTGGAGGCAGGAGCTGTTGCAGAGGCCATGGAGGGGTGCTGCACACTGGCTTGCTCTCTGTGGCTTGTTCTTCCCACCTTCTTATAGAACTCAGGACCAGCAGCCCAGGGATGGCACCATCCACCATGAGCTGGGCCCTCCCCCATTGATCACTAATTGAGAAAATGCCTTACAGCTGAATCTTATTGAGGCATTTCCTCAACTGAGGCTCCTTCCTCTGATGACTCTATCTTGTGGCAAGCTGACACACAAAACCAACTAGTACATTGTTTTTACCTTTAATGCCTGATTTTTGATGTCCATATATTCTTGAATGTGTGACCATTCACTGGGAATATGGTTGACTTGCAAGGGGATACACTCCTAAAGAAAACTGGCTCTCCCTTTACCAGAAGCTATCAGATGTCAGTAGCCAGGAGCTAGGGGAGAGATTTTGTGACTATCTACTCTCTCCATGTTGAGATTTAGTCTGTCTGAAATTTTCACAGGTCATGTGTATACTGCCATGAGTTCATATGAAGATGTGCCCCATTGTGCCCAGAAGACACCTTTTCTTTGTAGTCATCCATCAGCTTCTAGCTCTTGCCATCCCTCTGTCCTGCTTTTGCAGTGATCTCTGAGTCTTGGGGAAGAGTTTGTGATGGAGATGTTTCATTTAGGAATAGGCATTTCATAGTCTCTTCTTTTCTGTACTTTGGCCAGTGGTGGATCTCGGGGTTAATCCCCATCTGTTGCAAATAGAAGCTTCTCAGATGAAGATGGAGAGATGGATTGATCTATGGGTATAATTATAAGCTAATAGAAATCTGCTTAATACTATGTCTGTTTCTAAGTATGGTAGCCATAGGTCTTCCCCAAGATCTATGACCTGTCTACCCACAGGCTCTTGACCCTGATAATGATGCCAGGTTTCATCTTGTGGAATGGAACATGTATCCACTCAGAAAGTGCTTGGTTGCTCCTGTGATGTTCATGCACCATGGGCATGTCTTTCCAGGTCAGTTGTTACTGTAGCTACAAAGATTACAACTGGCATCAGTGTCAGAGTTGGCTCACAATTTTCTCGGTAGTTATGTGAATACTGAGGCTGGCTGTGAGCTTTACCTTTTGTTCAGTGTATTAAAGGGCAAGCTAGTGTGTGCCTGTATGAGTGGGTATGTGTGTGAGTGTGTGTGTGAGTGGTGTGTGAGTATGTGCGTGTGTGAAGACTGTTAAGTACTGACATAAGACTCATTTAGATATTCATCACATAGGGCCAGTAGACTTAAATTAAAAGGAGGCTCTTTCTAAAAACATCCTAAGAGAATACAATGCTGTTTGTATTATCATACAGTGGGCAATGATTTGAACTCTCACTCTAGCAGTGAAGCAGAATGTAGAAGGATGAAGTGTCTCATGCATTGTTTATGAAAGTGAGAAAAAAAAGCATTAAAGGGACAAAAGATAGGACAGCAAAGTGTGCTTACGGAAAGGATGTGCTAAGAGAAGAGGATTCACTGTGAGTGGACGGCCACACATGTGTCCTCGCTCCCTTTCCTCAACTCCTTTCTGTGTCTACGGAGACATAAAAGTATTGACATGTATAAACTACAAGCAATCACATATTTTTCGCCATATAAAAGGCATTTCATGAATTTATGCACATCAGACATTATATATGTTGTGGTATGACATTAATTTTAAAGTTGGCCAAAGATGCAGTTAAGGACTAAAGATGGGCATGAAGAACTTACAGTTTTACTCTTAAGTTCAAGTTTGTCTCCTCAAACTATTTTACAGGTACAAACTTCAGACAGAAACTAGCAGGAAAGAAGGCGTCAACATAATGTTTTCAGATACTTCTTTTGTATACCTAAAAATCTTAATGTTAAATTATGCTGTAACATGTCTTTTCTGACTTTTCACTGTATTGTAGCTCCCAGGAGGTGTGGAACTTTGGATCTTTCCTTAAGAGACATGTGCAGTATTCAAAGTACTCAATAAACAGTTGAGTGAAAGAATGAATAGTGACTAAAATTTACATCTATGTTGGCTATAACAACTGAAAAAATAATAAAAGAGAATGATGATCATAAGAATTAGCCTTAGAAAATTGTAATATACGTGTATTAGCTCAGATACACATCACATACAGAGCAGATATTTTGTAGGACACTAGAAAATCAGATACACTTAACTTATAAACACTTGGGGATCTAATTATGTGTTCTTTTGTTTGGCTATGTGAGTGTAAGTTAATTATGTCAGGATTTGGAAAAATACATGAGAAAAAGTCAATAGTGGGACACTTCTAATTGGCAATTTGGGTAGTGGGAACCTGCTTATATACAGAGCTTCACCACTGAGGGGTTGAAATGGAGTGAAAGTCCCTTTATACCTTAGATTAATTTCATCAAAGCATTTACAGAAGCAGAAATCATTTGGTTACTCTATGATTTCAAGCATTGTTTGTACAATAGTTATTTACTCTTTGAAATGCTTCAAACACACGGAAAGCTAAAGATGCAGCGTGTGGATGCTGCTGAGGATGCAGGTGCTTGCTGAGAAGCGTGAGCATGCGTGAAGCCCTGGGTTTACACTCCTGCACCTAATCCTGGCACTACAAACACAGAGGCAAGCAATCAGAGGTCCAAGGGCTCCTCAGCAGCACAGTGGGCCTGAGGCAGATTTGACCTACCCAAGACAATATTTAAAAACTGAAAGTTAAAGGTAAAAATAGAGTGAGCACAGAGGTGCCTGACATTTATATTGAAAACAAACTTAAGGAAGACTTAGCTACTTACCATGAATATTTTTAATTTTTAATTTAATATTTAAAATGGAAATATGACATTTTAGAGTTATCCAGTCTTATGTTTGCTATTCATAGGTTGAAACAGTTTTATTTGAACACACTTATAATCCCAGTAAACAGGAGACTGAGGCTGGTGAATTACATAGCAATACCTTGTCTCAAAAATAAATAAATAAAAGCAAAGAAGAAAAAGTACTTTTATAAGTCTTAGGAAAGATTAATTAAATTTTGTTTCAAAAGACAATTGCTTGAAAATAAAGAATATGTTGTTTGTCAAGCTAACACTTTACTATTTTGTACTACCTGACATGTTTTTCATCGCCTATGGTTTGTATACTTCTTTCCCCCACCATGCTGTATTATGTACAGAGCTTTGTTTACAAATGGTTAGCACTGGTTACTCTGGATGGACAGGATTAGGTAACGATAGAACTCAAAATTCTAAATTTTTCTGATAATATTTAAAATATTCTGTGATAAACATTTTTGAAATTATAGAAAATGTTAAAGAGGCACGCTATTGAATTATCTTATAATTTGTTATATTAAACTCCACACTTGTTCCCAATCAATGACATATGAAATACGGGCACAATTATGCATGTGTATACATATATACACATATCTCTCTCACCTACGTCACTTCCTCTTGCTCTCGCTCCCCTTCTATAGTTTAAACACACTCATTTGCATTACCTACTGCCTGAAACACTTACAAGGAATCAATATTTTCTTTGCTAAAGCATGCTATTTATGGTAGTTAGAGAGTCGCCCCTAGAATCTCTTTCTAACTTCGCGTGGTTAATTTTTATTTCCCCACGTGTGAATATTTGACTTGAGGTAGAAGTGATGTTCCTCTAACTTAAGAAATCAGCAATGTTTCATAATTTGACAAGCCTACTCTGGGGTGTATAACTAAAACCAGCTGAGGATCCAACAGCAGAAAAATACATATCATAACATATTAATGGAATCTAATGCGCTAAAATTCATGTTCTTATCATATATTACTTTCTATTTCTGGAACTAACCTATCTGTGCAAATCATGGGTGAAGAATAACAAAATTAGCTTTGGAGGCAGAATAAAATTATGTTCTTTTCCTATTTATTTTTCCTAAAATATAGCATGCTTTAGTCTCTGAGGTTCATTATCTCCTATAAAGTGAAATTTCGCATGTTTGATTGAAATAATGACTGAATTTGATTCTTGGAATAATGCATTAAAAATGGCAGCCGGCGTGCTTTTAGACTTTTGTGCTTTTCATTGTTATCTTACTGATGGTGGTTATCTCTTATTTCCAGATCACAGAGTGGCTCTGTTTAAACTGTCAGATGCGGAGAGCTCTAGGAGGTGACCTGGTTCCAATGCCATCCTCACCGCAGCCCAGTCCGAAGGCTGCCTCTGGACCTCCTGCAGCAGCCGCCAGCAGACAACCTGGACCATCACAGCCGGCTTCCCCGAAGAAGGACCCTCCACCCAGACAGGACAGCCCCAAAGCGCCTGGACCATCACAGCCGGCTTCCCCGAAGAAGGACCCTCCACCCAGACAGGACAGCCCCAAAGCGCCTGAGCAGAAGAAACCGCCGCCCCTGGTGAAGCAGCCAACCCTTCATGGACCTGCCCCAGCCCCAGCCCCAAAGCCTCCAGTGGCAGAGGCCTTACCTGAGCCAGCCCCTCCCAAGGAGCCTTTCACACCCCTCCCTGAACAAGCCAAGGCCCCTGTTGCAGATGTTAAACCAAAGCAGCCCAAGATGGCCGAGCCACGCACAGATGTACCATCTTCAGCAGCAGCAACAACAAAGCCTGATATTCTGAGCTCTCGGGCGCAGCCACAGGCTCAAGCGCAAACAGCCCCTCCTTTGAAAACAGACTCTGCCAAACCCTCCCAAAGTTTCCCACCTACAGGAGAAAAAATCACCCCACTGGATTCTAAAGCCATGCCTAGGCCTGCATCAGACACAAAAATTATTTCACATCCTGGGCCCAGTTCCGAGAGCAAGGATCCAAAACATGTTGATCCAACTCAAAAGAAGGAAGAGCCTAAGAAAGCACAAACGAAGATGAGTCCTAAACCAGATGCCAAGCCAGTGCCAAAAGGGTCACCAACACCCTCTGGCCCACGACCTCCCACTGGCCAAGCTGCACCCCCATCTCAGCAGCCCCTAAAGCCTCAGGAGCAATCAAGGCGTTTCAGTTTGAATCTGGGTAGTATCACCGATACCCCCAAATCACAACCCACGACTCCTCAAGAAACTGTGACTGGGAAACTGTTTGGGTTTGGAGCATCCATCTTTAGCCAAGCATCCAACTTAATCTCCACAGCAGGCCAGCCCGGACCTCATCCACAGACTGGGCCAGTGGCCCCCACAAAACAAGCCCCTACCCCATCACAGACTTCTGCTGCTCAGGGACCACCCAAGTCCACAGGTCAGCTCCCACCAGCACCTGCCAAGGCAACGCCTGTGAAGGAAACAAAAGCCCCAGCAGCTGAGAGCGTAGAATCGAAACCCGAGCAAGCTCCAGCAGTGAAGAGGCTGGAGAAAGACAAGAAGGCCCCACCCGGTAAGGTCAGCAAACCTCCACCTGCTGAGCCTGAAAAGGCTGTGCTCCCCCACAAGCCGGACAAGACCAAACCCCAGCCAACCTGTCCTCTTTGCAAAACGGAGCTCAACATCGGCTCCCAGGATCCTCCCAACTTCAACACCTGCACGGAGTGCAAGAGTCAAGTGTGCAGTCTCTGCGGATTTAACCCCACACCCCACTTGACTGAGGTAAGCAGCATCTTCATAACATATGGATGAGAATATGTGTCAGTTTATCCTGAATATTTGCGGACCGAAATTTCTGAGCAGTAAAATATGTTTCCACTGAAAAAAAAATGAATGTTGATGCTCAGAAGAGGTTAAAAGTATTTCATCCACACATAAATTCTTGTTCTTTGTGCTTTAATGGTTTATTACTTACACTAAAAGTAAGAGATGGAGTGTGCTAGGAAATTGAAATGACAGCGCAGTCTTTTATGAATTAAAGACCCAAGCTTGGAAGGCTCTTCGGTGTTCATATGGGAAGTCCACATAAAAGTTGGAATACATAGTTCTCCTTTTCTATAACCCATCCCCTGTCTTTAATGTAGTTTATTGCTTAAGTTTATTTTACGAGCTGTAAGACTCCAGATCTTGCTGTGTAGCCCAGGCTGGCACGGAGCTCATGATCCGTGCTTTAGCTTCTGAGGTGCTGTCATGCTCTGGTCTTTAACAAATTTTCAAATAGAACTTTAGTTGATTCAATTCATATGCAATATGAACAAAAACTGTTAAAAACTTTGTGTAAGTTTAGGATATTGCCTGGTAAACTTAGTGGTTCACTTACGATATATTTAGATTTTCTATGTCTGTTGATATAGTAGAGTCCATTCTGGGAGCTGTGGAAGACAACTGTGTTTCTGTGACTAATGAGAAGACACTCTAATGAGATGATGTCAAGAACACTGTCTCCACAATGTAAATAACTAAATGCGGTTTGTGCTTTCTACCTGAGAATATAGCTGTAAAAGAGTGAATGGATAAGCATTAGTATTGAGCTAAGGCTATTAGACTCTTTAAGAGGATTTCGGGCACTCAGGGGTTAAAGGATCATGACTATCTTAGATAAATAAAACAATGCCTTAATAAATATTTTGAAAATTAAAATAACTGTCTGTAGACGGAAGGTTTCTCCAGTCCTATCTGGCCCATAGTCCCACAGCCGCTTATAAAGTAATTACTCAGAGGCTTACTTTAATTACCAATTGCATGGCATATGGCAGGCTTCTTGCTAGCTAGTTCTTATAACTTAAATTAACCCATTTCTATTAATCTATGTTTTTCCACTTTTCCGTGGCTTCCCGGTCTGCTGGCATGCTGTTCCTTGGGTGGCAGGCTGGCATCCCTCTGCCTCTCTTTCTCTTCCTGTCTGTCTCCCTTGGATTTTCCCACCTGGCTTCATTCTGCCCTGCCATTGGCCAAACAGCTTTTTTATCAGCCAATCAGAGCCACACATATTCACAGTGTTCAGAAAGACATCCCACAGCAGCTGTCCATCATGATTTCATTTTTATTTTATTTTTTCCTTTTTTACCTTTTATCTATTTAATTATTTTACATCCTGGCCACAGTTTCCCCTCCCTCCTTGCTTTCTTATCCCTCCCGCAAACCTACCCACACCCATCCACTCCTCCTCCTCTCTTTCTCTTCAGAAAAGGGTAAATCTCCAATGGATATCAACAAGCCATGGTTAATCAAGTTGCAGTGAGACTAGGCACCACCTTTTATAGTAAGGCTGGACTAGGCAATCTGGCAGGAGGAAAGGGTCCCAAAAGCAGAGAACAGAGTCAGAGACAGTCCCTGCTCCCACTGTTAGGTGACCCAGAAGAAGATCAAGCTACACAACTGTAACATATGTGCAGAGAGGTCAGTCCCTTGCAGGCTCCCTGGTCGTCGGTTCAGTTTCTATGAGGTTCTATGAGCCCAGGTTAGTTGATTCTGTGGGTTTCCTTTTGATGTCCTTGATCCCTCTGGCTCCTACAATCTGTTCTTCCCCTCTTCTGCAGGCTTCCCTGAGCCCTGCCTGTGGGTATGAATCAGTTCCTGCCAGTTGCTGGGATGAAGTCTCTCTGATGACAATTGGATTAGACACCAATCTATGTGTACAGCAGAATATTGTTAGGCATCATTATATTGACAGTTTTTTCCTCCAGTCGTGTTTGGTTCTATCCTAGGTCTCTGGGTCATCCAGTCTGTGGGTCTTGGTGCTTCAGGCAGTGTCAGGAGTGGGCTTACTCTCCTGGCGTGGGTTTTAGGCTAGACTAGTCTGGTTGACCACTCCTTTAATCTCTAGGCCACCTTTACCCAGCACATCCCATAGATAGGACAGACTATAGATCGAAAGTTATGTAGCTGGGTTGGTCTCCCAATCCCTCCACTTGAAGTCTTGCCCGGTCACAGGAGATGGCCAGTTCAGGCTCTGTATCCCCTATTTCTAGGAGTCTTAGCTGGGGTCATCTTGTAGATTGCTGGGAGAGTCCCTTGTGTTAGGATTTTATCTGACCCTGAAATGCCCCGTGTCCAGTTGTCTCTTTCAGTATTTTCCCCCTCTATTCCAACCCCAGCCTGATCCCGGATCACTCATCTTGTTTCCATCCCCATTTGCCCATAGTCCACTCATGAAATCTCTTCTATTTCCCCTTCCCAGGGAGATCTGGGCCTCCCCCATGAACCCTTCTTGTTAGCTAGTCTCTCTGGGTCTGTGGATTTCAGCATAGTTATCTTTTATTTTACAGCTAATATCCACTTATGAGTAAGTACATACAATGTTTGTCTCTTTGGGTCTGGGTTATGTCACTCAGGATGAATTTTTCTAGTTCCATCCATTTGCCTTCAAATTTTATGATGTCACTGTTTTAACAGCTAAGTATTACTCCATTGTGTAAATGTTCCACGTTTTCTTTTCTAATTCATTGGTTGAGGGACATCTAGATTGTTTCCAGGTTCTGGCTATTACAAATAAATCTGCTATGAACATAGTTGAACAAGTGTCCTGGTGGCATGATTGAGCATCCTTTGGGTATGTGCCCAAGAGTAGTATTACTAGGTCTTGTGGTAGATTAGTTCCCAGTTTTTTGAGAAACTGCCACACTGACTTCCAAAATGGCTGTACAAGTTTGTACCCCCAGCAATGGAGGAGTGTTCTCTTTGTTCCACAGACTCTCCAGCATTAGCTGTCACTTGTGTTTTTAATCTTAGCCATTATGACAGGTGTAGAATGGAATCTCAGAGTTGTTTTGATTTGCATTTCCCTGATGGCTAAGGATATTGAACATTTCTTTAAGTGTTTCTCAGCCATTTAAAATTCCTCTTTTGAGAATTTTCTGTTTAGATCTGTAGCCCATTTTTAATTGGATTATTTGGTATTTTGATGTCTAGTTTCTTGAATTCTTTATATATTTTAGAAATCAGCCCTATGTCAGATGTGGGGTTAGTGAAGATCTTTTCTCAGTCTGTAGGCTACCTATATGCCCTGTTGATGGTGTCCTTTGCCTTACAGTAGCTTTTCAGTTTCATAAGGTCCCATTTATTAATTGTTGATCTTAGTGTCTGTGCTATTGGTGTTCTGTTCAGGAGGTGGTTTCCTGTGCCGATGTGTTCAAGGCTATTTCCCACTTTCTCTTCTATCAAGTTCAGTGTATCTGGATTTATGTTGAGGTCTTTGATCCACTTGGACTTGAGTTTTGTGCAGGGCCATAGATTATGTCTGTCACTTTTATACAAATCAAAACTACTTAAGGACTCTTTCAGACCACTGTGTCTGATCTTGTGAGTCAGTCAGGCAGAGCTGAAGAGGCTTGGATGAGACATGTCAGAGAATCCTTAAGGTTTGTCTTATTATTTTGGAATGAATTTTTTTAAAAATAAATTTTAATTAAAATAGAAGTACCTCACTTTTCCCTTTCCCTTTCCTCCCTCGGGACCTCCCATGTCCAGGTACCTTCCCTCCAACCCTTTCTAGGCCCCAGGTAAATGGATAGACCTAGAAAGACTATCGAATTCTTTAAAGAACAGACGTAGAGAGTTTCAGTTGTTCACTTTGAAAACACAGGAGATTGCCATGACATTGCTCGCACTACGTGAAAGCACCTTCCCTGCAGGATTCAGGTTTGCTTTCTCAGCTTTGATGAGCCTTGCTAACTAATGAACGCTCATCTCTAAAGGCGGATACATATTGTTTCCTCAGCCCTTGGTGAGTGTTAACTCTTCTTATTGCCTGCAAATTAACTCCAGTGTAAATGCAAAACACAAACACAATTTAATTTCTTCATAGTTTTGGAAGAGCATTTGTGTGTGTGTGTGTGTGTGTGTGTGTGTGTGTGTGTGTGTGTGTGTGTGCATTCATCCTGAGTATATTTTTTCTTTTCCCAGTACAGCTGCATTTATTTAAGCTGTTAAAAAAATTGTACCCTTTAATGAGGAGCCTTATGGTGTCAACATAATGCGTTTACTGAAATAGCTGTAAAGCAAACAGCACTACTGAAAACAAAGCTGTAATTTCTATATTTCCTTAACACAAACATGTATGTAGTGCAGTTATATGGCTTATAACACACATACAATGTTGCATATATATGCATATACATACACACAAATATTACTGTTTATGCATTTACTACATTTGACCTATCATGAGTATTAAAGCTCTGTCAGAGTTTGGAGTAGTAAAATGAGAGTTCCTTGAGTACAGAGTCAGTAAATCTTCTCGTGGAGTCTCTGGTATTCTGTATGTTGGTTAATCGTGCCTTGAAGGAAAGGAGATTACTTGAATAAATTACAGAATTAACCAGCATGTGTGGAACTTTAATTTTGGATAATTTGATGGTGTAAGTTATCCAAAGTTTTTAGATAGTTTAAGTAAGGTCCCATTTTAAATATGGCCCAGGATATAAAATGTCTATCTCTCTTCACAATATTGTGATCTGCAGTAATTTCTTTGAATTTAGAAGACCATGATTGAGGAGAGAAGAAAATTTGATATAGCAAAAATGACTTGACCATGACTATGATAAAGAGCTCATTCAGTTGGCATAAGGATTTACCTCTGCTGTTGGTAAGGTCTATTGGCTAGTCTAATATTAAGGAAGTGAGTGAAAGTTTGTTTATTTTATGTTCAAGTAGTTCATATTATTATTGTCTCTAAAACTTTGGAGGAATGGAAGATGGATTAGTTAAAAAGGATGGTTTTT